AAATAAGGTCGCAATTTCCGAGCAGCGATAACGAGTGCAAACGCCAATTTTTCCATAGGGGGATAACGCAGCTCGGCATCATGTAATGCCTTGCTGATATAATAGACCGGTGACTGTAACAGTCCTTCTTCACGTACTAAAACGACGCTGATGGCTGAATCGCTGACTCCGAGGTATAAAAACAACATCTCCTCGGGTTTTGGTTTTTGTAAGGTGGTGGAGAGGTGAGTGTTTCCTTGATGCTGATGAGGGCTTTTTGGCATTCCTCGGTCCATTCAAAACGCTTTCCTTTCTTGATTGCTTCGAAAAACGGTTTACACCGATCTGTGGATTTGGAGATGAACCGGTTAAGTGCTGCTAGTCGGCCGGTTAGGGCCTGAACACCTTTGACCGAGGTCGGGGGAGTTCGATTTTGAATGGCTTTTATCTTTGCCGGGTTGGCTTCAATTCCGCGTTGGCTGACCATATAGCCCATAAATTTTCCAGATTCAACTCCGAAGGTGCACTTCTTGGGATTCAAGACCATAGAATAAGATCGGAGAATATTGAACATGTCCTGAAGGTGTGTTATATGATCAGAGGCGTGCACCGACTTGACGAGCATATCATCTACGTAAACTTCCATGGTATGACCGATTAAACTGGAAAACATCTTGTTAACAAGACGCTGATAAGTGGCCCCAGTGTTCTTTAATCCGAATGGCATCATGGTATAACAATAAAGGCCCCTAGCTGAATAAAAAGAGGTGTGTTCAGAGTCTTCGGGATCCATAGGGATTTGATTATACCCGGAGTATGCGTCCATGAAGCTCATTAACTCGTGTCCCGATGTGGCATCAACCATATAATCTATGTGCGGGAGCGGGTAGCTGTCTTTCGGGCACGCCTTGTTCAAATCGGAAAAGTCGATACACAGCCTCCACAGACCATTGCTTTTCTTGACGAGAACAGGGTTTGAGACCCATGTCGGATATTTGGCCTCTTTAATGAACTTGTTGTCGATGAGTTTCTTTACTTCCTCTTCCAATGCTGTCTGGCGATCCGGCCCCAGTTTTCTTCGTGTTTGAACAATAGGCCGAACAGTTCGGTCGAGGTTCAACTTGTGACTAGCAACTCCGGGGTCGATGCCCTTCATGTCTTCGTGTTTCCATGCAAACACGTCTGAATTTTGTTTGAGAAACGAAATGAGTTCCGACCGGAGAGGCTCTTGAAGATGACTTTCAATGCGCAATGATTTATGGAAAATCGGTTCATCGACATATATCAGTTCTACTTCTTCTCCAGGTTCGGCTCGATCATTTCGGCTTTTTTTCTTGAATTGGGCCCTTGGTTCCAACTCATCTTCTTCGAGGAGTGGCTCCTTTCCTGGCCGCCTACCTCGGTCTTCAGATAAAGGGTCCGAGGTGGTAGGAACAGCGGTGTTGTAATTTGGTTCCTCGGAAATCGCATCATCCGAGGTGTTTCGTTGTGGGGGATTGTCATCGTTCCCCGAAGTGATGGAATAAACTCCGCCGGATGGTACGAAAGTAACAAGTTCTCGAGCTTCCCGTTGGTCTCCGAAATGAGTCCCTTCTCCTCGTGTAGTTGGGAACTTCAGTGCGTAGTGAAAGATCGAAACCGTAGCTCGAAGCTTGTACAAAGCTGTTCTG